TATTTATTCTTTGCAAACATGTGAAAACGAGGAGACTGATGCGAAGGGAAGGAGAAAAGAGGAAGTTAGGGTGGGGTTGCGGTTGGAGTGAGGCGTTGCTTGTCACACATCTTGTTTTAGTCTATAGACATTGGTCAACAGCAAGCATTTCTTTTAAGGTCAAGCAACATAATCTCAATCAGTTTTAATGCAGATCTCCAGAATAATTAATGAAACATTTTTCAAAGGTCCACCTGTAAATAAATGCTTTGGAAAAGGTTTTATTTTGATCTCATCAATCCAGAGGATACTTTCCAAAAAAAATCTTGGAGAACACTGACACTTTAGTTTGTCCAAATATAAGAGGATGTTCTAGTAATGCAGTTTTATTAAAACTTAGCTTAATGGCAAGCAAGTCTGTAGTTTTTCAGATATTCTTATCCAGGAAAATTGAACTAGATTGTTCAGGGAGCTGTTAGGTTTATTGGCTTCTCTAAATTGACCTGTCCAGGGTGTACTCTGCCTCTCACCCTTAGACTGCCGGAGATAGGCATCGGCCCCACCGCCACCCTGACAAGGACTAAGAGGGAGAAAATAGATGGATGGATTGAAGGATGTTCAGGGAGCCACAGATGAAAGGCAACAGCTAATTTTTCTGATAAATTCACAATGTCACAAAAACCAATAAAATTATTACTGAAATGACCTGTTATCATTTAAATGATTTTATGATTTAGTGCAGTAAAATAAAAGCTTTTGAAAGCAAAACATTTAAGGCAAGTTAACATGCCTCATCGGAGCCATGGCAACATGGCTTAAAACCAAGGCAACCAGACCTTTTCTCATTTTTTGTGAATATATTTTAAAACTCATCCAGTAAACCTTGCTTATTCTGGAGGCTTATGACTTGGTAGGTGTCAAAGTTTATTCATAAAATCTGACAGAACTCCTGTTGCCTTAAGGCCTAGAATACACTGAACATGATTTGGCATCAGATCTGACAGAAAATCTGAGTGTATGATGTCGTGGCACTTAGATTTAATTCATGTACATGTTTTGCTGCTTTGTGTTACATAGCTCGAGCTGTGATAAGACCCCTGGTCTGTTTTGTCGGATCTACGCAACAACTTGGCAGCAATTTCATGAATTAGATTGGAAGAGAGAGATATGTTGGCAAAGACAGAATGTGTATTCTTTTGATACATAAAGTTTAATAAATGTTTATTCTGACATGTTCACTAATATCTGCAAAATACTGCAGTAGGTAGCAAACTGTGATGAAGAAATGTAAGACAAGCGCAATGTTTGTTTTTGCTTGTTACTTGCTAATTGCCCTTTTATTTATATTTTCCTATAAAACTCAGATTTTTAATACCACATCACTAGTCTCACCATTTCTCTATCAAAAAGACTCAAGGTTTGCAGCTGCAGGTGACAGATGGTTTAAGCTACATCTGCTGTTTCATTTCAGCTGGAGTGTAGCTTTATGTAGGCCTCCCTGTTTAACTTGGTTCCTGGAGCATTCTTATCCTCTAAACTCACAGGTGCCAGCTGATTTTCAAATCAGTCTCATTCGCTATGAGTGTCAAAATCTAGAACAGAAACTGAGATACAAACATGCACATTCTTCAGACAGCTTTGACTGAAATCGGGTCCCCATCAGAAGCGGTTTATTAATGGGAAAGTCTGCCGTTTTCCTTTGGGAGGGAATGTCTCTCAGTCTAACAACTTCTGCTGTCAGACTGAGCAAGCTGGTGGCTGTATATCCTCACAGACAGGAAGTAAAGGAAAACTATTCAGGGATGCAGGGATGAAGAAAGAACATATTACGCTAAGGGGTAAAAATACATCAGTGTGCACCTCTATCTGCGTGTTCTTCAGCAGCTGTTATTTTGAGCTTGGAAAAGGGTGATAAGTGGAAAAAATTATTTTTGTGGTGCTATTCAGAACAGCTGTCATCTTAACAGGAGTTCACACATTGCCATGTAACCTGCATGATCAGTTCACTATGGCACAGCAATAAACATTGTTATGAAAAGATTCTGGATGCACTGCAAGATGTGATCATTTAGGCCATATTTAGAACAAATATCTCATATATTGTTCTTGTGAAATCAAAGAACCCAAAATGTAGAAACACCTACACTGACAGAACGGTCCTGCTAGATTATAAATTTGTTATTCTTCAGTTCCTGGAAAAAATGAACACAAAACTGCTTTTTCAAAGGGTATTCTACTCAAAAGGTGTGCTGCTCATAGCAGATTTTAATGCGATGTAGAAATAATAGTGTGAAGAGCAGCAGCCCATATGTTGCTGCACTTAACGAAGCAGACACAGCATATGGCTCAGTTATTGTCAGCAGACATCTGGTTAGATATAAGATAATGAAAAAAACTATTGTCTCTAAAACATTACAAATCACTACTGCACTTTTTAAGTCTCTCGTGTCACATTTGTCGCACATCATAGTGTAAACATTTGTACTGACGATCAGATCACTCAGGATAGATGTTAATCCACGCTCGGAAGATCCTTTTGACTCCATATATTGGACCAAGTCAGGCTTGTCTGCACAGTACAGGGCCTCAAATTATGAGCACAAGTCTAAGTGCATTAATCCAATTCTTTCTTCCGTAAACATTGAAATGTTCCTTCCTCCTCCTTTGGGAATCACAGACTAACTTTCCTTGAGTTTCTACTGTTTCAGCCATAAAAACATTAAGCCTAGCCTGACACAGCTATGAAGGATAATATGTCAGGATTAGCCATCATATTTTAACACAAAACAGGCCCTCACTGACGTCAGATGTGCCAAACTACACTTTAATATTCCTACAACTGGTTTGGAAATAATAAAGCAAAATTCTAAATTTCCTTTACATTTAGTGCTGACAACAAAACCTAATTTTGTGATTTCGTTGTAGTATTTGTTGGGAGCCAAAACAAAGTCAGCTTTTAGAGCTTTAATAGTAAAGTTTGGCGACCAGATGTTTTGGAGGATTTATTTCAGTTTAAACTGAGTTGGCAATTGTAAACTTCACATTCTGAGTATGAATAAAAAGCACCATTAAGAGCTTCAGTTGATAGCTGTAAAATATGTTAGAAAATAAATAACCTAACATTAAAGACGCCTCATTTAGGCAATAAAAAGTAAATCATCTATCTGGACCTGCTCCAGCTGAGCCTTCTAGTTATTTGGTTACTGTACCTGGTTGTGAATGTGGAATTCAATTAAAGAAGCCATTTTATGACTTTCGTTAGTCTGATCTTTTTTCCCCAGGATATAACCCTCTTTCTCTGCAGATTTGAGTGGCGACCTCTGGTAGAGCAGAGTGTTTTCATTGTAAGTTCATTTTCTCCTAGGAGTTTGCGGTTGGGGGATGAGTGTAACGGATCCTTTTGGTATCGGTGGAGCGTTGGGCCATGTGTAGCCTGTGGCGAAGGTTTTTCTCAGATCTATGCCCCATTGCTCCCTGTTGGAACTTGTCAAACCCAGGAGACGGAATCTGTTTGGAATTATCAAGCCCTCCCCAGGCAAATGGTAATCAGGCTGGCCAAGGGGAAGCTGCAAGGGCTCCATGCTTTGAGTGAACTGAATGGGGCCAAAAAAGTTCCTGATCTTTGTGGTTTTTGTAGATTTGGGTTTCGCTTAGTAATTCTGCTTAAGCCTGTCAAGAAAACACATTTTAATCGTGGCAATTTCACTCATGGGAAGCAGAGATGAAAAGCCAGCGTGGCAACCATGTAGCCTAAGTAAACACAGTGCAAAAGGCTAAGGGAGTTATTTTTCTCCGCTTGGGAATCATGCTCCTCCAAGTTTTCTGCATGTTCGATAAGGACATCTTTGGAATTAAATCTAATGAGCTTAAATGAAAAGCAGTAGCCGCTATGAGCTTTAATGTTCTCTGTGCTGCTATGAGGACAAAAACCATGGAAAGCACTCATAAATATTCGCCCAAATAGGGTGCAATCACATACCATGTTTGATCCTTGGTCTTGTTAGTAATCCATACTGATTTAGTGCTCATGCTTGTGTGCGTGTGTTGGACCCACAGTTTATTTTCACTGTTTTTGTACACATGGTCTGAACACTGTGTGTAAGACAGAGAGGAGGAGGGGTCAGCCACTGTCAACAAGCGTCGGATCGTGAGAAAGATGGGTCACTATTTGGGTTCTTTGTGTTGTACCACAGCTGTCGACGTTAAAACCAAACTGCTGCTGTTTCTTGTTGTGTCAACGAGCTTTTGGCTTAACTATGGCAACAAGCTAGGGCCATGCCACCTCTGCAGACTGGGCTCAGTAAGATCAAAGAGATGTATTTCACTGGAGCTGGCTGTCGTCACTGTGGTTTGATGTGTAAACTAAACTACTAGTGTGAGAACACAATTGCAAAAGGACTTATTTTCCAGATTCTACTGCAGCCAAAAGGCTTTGCTGAAAAAAATCTTCTGTTTTCCAAAAGTCTTTTGGACTAAGCTGTACCAAAATAAACTGCAGGAAGCAAAAAAATAAATTAAAACAATAATAAAATGACATTAAGGTGTCTAACGGAGCCAAAAGCCTGAAATTACACAATGCCTTTTCAGGAAAACAATGAAGTAATCACTTAAAGTGAGTGAAAGATGTGTAATTCCAAGAAAATTATCATTATTCAAGTATTGTGAGAAAATCTGTTGTGTGACTTATCTTTCGCTTAAAGGTCCCATTTTATGAAAATTCACATTATAAACATTTTGTAACAGTCATATGTGTGCTGAAACCTGTGTATGAGGTTCGCAAATGGAAAAACAATCCTTTCACCTGTTGTATTGCCTTTCTCCACTTCTTAGCTAATCTGTGCTCAAAATGGTATGTTAGAATATCATGCCCCTTATGATGTCATAAGGGAAAATAAGCTGTCCATACCAGCCTGTTGCAGCCCATCGTTTTGTTTAACCTAATCTTTTACTCCAGGTCGACCTCTGTCGTTTATAGAGGATGTAACACAGCACTGTCTTCGTTGTTGTCTCCTATCATTTAGTACATTGTCCAGCTGCATGCATGCAGTGGTGGCGCTGCTCTACCCCTTCTCCTGGCAACACACCTTCATCCCCGTGCTGCCGGCGTCCATGTTGGACATCGTCTGCTGTCCCACCCCTTTCCTGGTGGGCCTGCTATCCAGCTCATTACCTAAACTTAAAGAGCTTCCTGTAGAAGAAGTAAGTACGACATCTTGACTCTGTCTTCTCATTATTTTTTTTTTATCTAAATGCTATATTTTAGCTTAAGGAGTTCAGTCTTTTTATTATTCTGGTCCTGTTTCCTTCCTGTTCTCTGGGATCACTGGATCTTTTTCTTGGGTGATAAATTAAGACAGATTCTAGGTCCCTGGGCCTGTTTGACCTTTTCTGCCTTCAATCTATTATTTTATTCACTGTTTCAGAAAAACAAGCCTGTCTTGTTTTTCAGAAACAAAACATATATTTCATATATTTATTTATATTTCACATTGAGCTTTTAAATTACAGTGGGTAAACATTCATGTGTTGTTGGAGATTTCTTAATTGCTTAATGACATCTCACAAACCAAAAAGATGATCCCACTAATAGAGAAAATAACTGTCAGAACTACAAGAGTCACAACAACTTTAGAGCATTTAGATGAAATTCCTCATGCAGACAGTCGTCTTTTCTATGAACCTTCCAATTATTTACCCAAAAGTTCATACTTGGTTCAAAACTAGTATGCTCAGCCACAGATATGCACTGGGAGAAAATGAGTGGCGTTGGGAACTGGAGCCAGTAAAGTGCTGGTGTCTAGATTGGGTAGCCCTCCTTCAGTTTCGGGTCTCAGCTCCAATAAATATTTTGAGGAAAAGCAGATGAAGAAAAGCAGAGTTAAGCATAAATTTCTCTTTGGTTCTTGTCTCCTGTTGTTGATATATTGTGCTATACTTTATCATATCTGATGCCTCTTTATATAGAAATTGTACTTTAGGAGAATGTAGTCAACTGTTTTTTTTGTTCTAATAATAATTTCTCCTTTTCCATCACTCAGGCATTAATGGTTGACTTGGGAACTGATCGCTTCATCCGGCAGGTTTGTACACACAAACCTATGTGTAGTGCCTGCAAAGATTTATAAAACTCAATGAACTAATTCCTCTTATTGGAAATGTATGTGATAGACCAACACAAAGCATATTAAAACTGTTGTTATGATATTTACCATTGATGATGTGTGAGTTTATCACACTTTAATATTAGCTGCCCGTTGCGTGTCAGAACTGATGTTTTCCCCAGTAATTATCTAATTAGGACAGTTCCTCTGTCAGGATATAAAGTTATAATCTTCATTCTGCACATGGCAAAGATTTGGCAAATGGAGTGAAAGCGCTGTCCTTGATCTAAGAACAAAGTGTAATATTGTGATATGGCTGTAGCCATGGATGTCTCCTCATCGGCAAACGTGTCTGATGTAATGGTGTGACATACTGGAGTTGTATAAAATGCTTCTTTAACTGTTTATCGGGGCCGCTTCCCAAGAAGTGAGCCCGGTTGGTAAGCAGCTGCCTTCTGTAACCCTAAGCAACTTTCCTGATCTGAGTAAGATTATAATTTCTATCAAAATCTGTTGTCATGTCTCCTGATTATTTAATACATAAACACTATGAAATGCTATTTAAAGAATTTGTCCCGAATGATTTCTTTTCAGGAAAAGAACCAGAGAGAGAAAGCTTCAAGGTGTAGACAAAGAGCTTTCCTTTAACACTGGGAAACAGGAAATAAATTAGGGGATATTTTAAACACATTTTACAAATAAAAATGGGAAATGCTGTATGAATTTGTACTTTTGTTTTTTTTAGTTTGTTACTCTGACACTCCAAGTGAAAATGAAATTAAACCATTTACATTAGAAGTAAACTTACTGTCCAATAGAATCTTAGGATAGAAACATCTGTCCTGTTCAGGCCTCTGAGGTTTGGTAGAGATTATTAGTGAAAAATCACCTCCATGAAGAGCAAGAGAGAGAGCAGGCAGGTAAGGAAGAAGGCTGTTAAATGTTTCAGGCAGGGTTAGATTATGAAAAATATCCCTGGCTTTCAGCATCCCACAGGCCACTCTTTAATGGAATATCCAAAAAAGAATCAGAGATGTAGCCATAATAACTCCTCTTCTCAGGTGCAGTGTTTTAATTGAGGAAAAAAATGAGTACTCCCATTAATGCTACACAAATATGGGATAGAAACATGGGAAATATCTATGTACAAATCTGTTGACCAATAGCTCTCTTAAATGGGAAAATAAAACAAAGCTAGTTCTAATGCAAAGCTATATAAGCCAAATTCAGTCATTTCAATTCCGTCTTATAATTTGAGTGAATTTTTAACTTCCTTTTGGGAGATATATATTAGGCCTGGCTTCAACAAACCCATGTCTCTTTATTCACATTATTTTGTCCTAAGCTGCCACTCAGGATGCAGAACGCCGACAAGGCAACAAAAAAATTGGGCTTTAATAAAAAATCTAAGCTATGGTATCTAAATATAATAAAAGAAAAGAAAAAGAAAAAGGTGTAAAGTATTTGATTAGATATAAGATATGTAAACATGTTTGCTTAGGAATAATGACAGACCTTTCTCCAGTTCACCCTTCCCAGGAGCTCACTATGAATTTAAACATTGATAAAATATGAACTACATGTGATACTTTACCAATGTTTTGAGCTGTTGAATCAAAAAACAGCTTGGAAGCAGGAAAGTTTTCAAATCTGCCAATCAGGGCCGCCAAAGTTAACATTCAAATGCACATTAATGCAACTTCTTTTAATGGCATCCATGTTTTTTTTTTTTTTTAAGATTTATTAACGCACATGCTTCCATACATTCTGAACCTTATCTGAATGGCAGCTTAATTATTTTTTGTTTTCTGCTTCAGCTGTTTCTACCATTACTTCAAATGTATGTTTTTTTTAACCGTTGTGAACAAAAATAGAACAAAAAAACATAATAAAGACCTTGTTCGGTCTACAAAAAGAAAAGTCTGAAGAGAAGGTCCACATCATGCATTGCACTGTGAGGTAGGAGTCAATACGCAACATGTTCACATCATCTCCAGGAGATGGCCGTGAATTTCAGTGAAATGGGGGCAGGTGTGCACTGGGTTAATATTGGAAAAGAACCTAATAGTTTACGTTTAGAAGTGATTGTACTGCGTATAGCTGCTTACCAGCCCCTTAAAGCACTGCTCAGGTTAGATAATCTGCCATAAATGCCAACTGTGCCAACTGCATTTTACAACTCGGATTGTAAAGCAATGGTTAAGAGAAACTCAGGGTGGTAGGAGATATAGAAAACATCTGGATAATGGTTCTGATGAGACCAAAACTATTCTTATTTTGCTTCCATGCCAAATATTGTGAAAAAACACTCACTTCTACATTACAATAATATACATCATTCCCACGGTGACACATGGTGTTGGCCACTTCATGCTATGGGACAGTTTCTTTAGTGGGGATAGAGAAGTTGGTGAGAGTGGATAAGAGACAATGATAAAATTAAATAAATGGAAAATCTAAATAAAAACCTGTTAGAAGCTGCTTAAACATCCGGAGCTTCATGGTACAGCAGCATCATAAGCCACCAGATCGACAAAAGGAATGTTTTAGGTCAACACAGACTTGAAGTCCAGACTCTAATTGAGAATCTGTGGTAGGGCTTGAATTGACAGATGTTCTGAAACCAATAGCAGTTAGCTTGAGCTATTTTGCTAATTGTGATCAACCCCATAATCTTCTACATTTTGATTGCTGGTTGAGCCACACCACAGAAGAGTTGCGGCTGTAATTACTGGGAACGTTGGTTTTACAGAGTATGCTTGTATCGGTAAAAATTCAGAAAACCACTTGTGCAACTTTAATCCTGATTTTGAGCAGCTCTGTTTTGGTCTATAATGTTAAGTTCAAATGCAGCACAGAGATTATTTCTTTTGTTGGTTTTTATTCATTCTAGTTAGTGTTTGTTGTCCAAACATATTAAAAAATAGAAGATTATAATTCATACATGACATGCTTTAGTGAACAAAGTAAAGCAGTAATTTTAGAGCTGAAGATATTATTTATTTTATCTTTTTAAAACATTTGAATTGTAGTCTGTTGGAGCTTTTTAATTACCAATTGTTTGTGTTTATCTCTGCTTACTTCAACTGTTTATAGATGGATGACGAGGCTTCGCTGTTGCCACGAAAGCTTCAAGCAGCTCTGGAGCAGGCGCTCGGGCAAAGGAATGAGATCATCAACCAGGACTCTGACAGTGAGTCAGATGAAGGTGAGTAAAGGACAGCTCATCCTCCTGCTAACAGAGGCAGATGTTTTCCTGATTAATTGGAGCAACAGGTGGTGCGGTGCACAGTTTGTGTGTCTGTGAAAACCACTGGGAGATTAAAAGTTCATGGTTAGCTTTTACAGCCAAATCTTTGCTGCACATTTAAGGGATTAAGGCTGCATTATGTCCAGAAACTGAAGCTAGTTTCTGCAAAAACTCAAATACCTTAAAAGCTCCAACCCTCTCTTTCTTAGACGATTTGATTGTATATTTCCTCAGAAAGGTTCTTTATACTGAATCTTTTTTAGTTGACCTTTATACTAAATGTACCAGTTTCAGCTTCAATGCAGTTGGCCTATACAGTTCTCTATCTGCACTGTGATATACAGTATAGCATTTTTGAATGGAATGGAAAATATTTTTCTATTTTTAGGGATAAAGACAGACTTAGGCTTTAATTTAAAAAACTTTTATTGTCAACCAAATTTTGTTTAGTACGGCTTTCCAGACAGTATATGAACAAAGACAAGAACATTTTCCGAACTGTTTTTAACTATTCAGCCCCAAATGTCCCATTTAAAGACTTAATGAAGGGGCCTGATGTGAAATAGGGTTTAAGAACCCTGTTGTAAGGTTATAAAAAAGTTCTGTCATAATTCATAGTTTATTTGTTGTAAGAAATTTGCTGTCCTTGATTATTGAAAATGAGTTTACGTATTGTTAAATGATGAACTATTTCTTTCCAAAAGATGCTAATTATTTTTAAGCACGTGGTTTTACCTCAGTTCCTCTTTCAGACCTACAGTACATGGTTGCAAATTGTGATTAAGAAATGCTAGTTCATTATTATTTGAGAAGTAGATAATATGGCAGCAATATTAAATACCAAATTCCTACAGCAAAATCATGATTAGTAATTGAGATACACTGAAATTAAATAACCCAACTCTAATCTAATATCTTTTAATAAAATTTAAAGAACACCATCACCAAGATAAAATGCATGTATCAAAAATAACTTTATGATGTCAAAGGAAAAGGAGGTACATCAGTGCAAGAGAAACAATGGACTGGGCGTCTGCTTTGGGAGGGGGTCACAGAAGCACCGATGTTAGCATTATAATATCCCTCACACCTGTGACTGTAGAGATATGAAAACTGTTTCGAAGCTGTGCAAGCTTCAGATTGTCTTTCTGTGTGGTTATGTAACACCTGCTGCATGTCAGTCACAGTCTGTTAGCTTTTGCTACAATCCAAAGAATCTTACTAGCTTATGTAATTCATTGTGTAGTTTTACAGGTGAAGGAAAGGACTGAACTGTAAGTAACGCTTTGTGGTTACTAGGGATAGGGGTGAGCAGAGTTTTAAACAGCTGACATCATTGTAGTTTCAGATTCAAGCACACATTCACATTAATGTCTATTTATCATGGCTGATTTTGTTTTGCTTCTTTTTGTTCTGTTGATATCTGTAGAGTATAACTCATTGAACAGCCTTGTGTCAGAGGCCTTCATCCGCTTCTTCCTGGAGACGATGGGACATTACTCACTGTTCATCACTCAGAACGAGCGTGGCGAGCGAGTTTTCCAAAGAGAGGCTTTCCGCAAGTCTGTGGCGTCCAAGAGCATCCGTCGCTTCCTGGGTGTCTTTATGGAGTCTCAGATGTTTGCAGGGTTCATTCAGGACCGGGAGCTGAGGAAAACACGGGCTAAAGGTTGGTTGCTGTTCAGTTATTGGAATCCTGCCCCTTTCTCTGTGGATTTCCTCTCCTCAATTTTTAGGAGTCTCTGAGCAACAAAAAAATATTGTACTGCTACTGCCCTCTTGTGGTGGAATGTATTCATCCAACTCTCTCAGCATCTCACTAAATTCTTTCTGGCAAACAAAGATCTTCTAACTTCCTGGAAGGGGGAGATGTGCCATAACTCCTTTTATTTGAATCTCTGTTGTTCTGATGACAGGGCTGTTTGAGCAAAGAGTGGATCAGTATCTGGAGGAGCTCCCAGACACAGAGCAGAGCGGAGTAAACAAGTTCCTGAAAGGCCTCGGTGAGTTTCCCTTCTGATGCTCTAGATGAGGAAAGTCTCAGATTTCAGTGCATAAAAAAGGTTCAGAACAGAGCCTTGTGAACAGCCGTTTTCAATATTTTTTTGTAACTTGCTGAATGTTCTCTCATGGAGTAATTTTGGTTTGTTCAGAATAACAGCAGTAAAACATCACAAACCACATCAATCGCTGTATGAAGAAATTATTTTCCATGTGGAAAGTAATTAATTAAAAGCTCCAGTAAAATAACTAAGCCAACAGTACTGACATACTTTCTGCTCATTCTGCGTAGTGAAATCAATAATACAAAGGGGTGTGTTCAGAAAGACAGTGCAAAGTTTAATCAGTCTTTGAACAACCTTGAAGTTCTTTAGTTATGTTGATTGATAACAAATACATTTTTTTTATCTGGAATATAACGTGAGATGTTCAAAATGTATGAGGGTTTTAATGGTAGATGCATATCCAGGAATGGGTTGCAGGAGCAGCAGTCTCAGGAGAGATTTTCCAGACTTCCTTCTCCCCAGACACATCCTCCTGCTGCTCTGGAGGAAGCCCAAAGCGGTACATTGCCAGTCCCTCCATCATGGACTGTTCCCTGGGCCTCCTCCCTCTGAAACAAATGTCTGATCCACCTCAATGGACTCCTCTCAATTTAAAGGAACAGCAGCTCTACTCTTAAGCCCATTCCGAATTCCCAAACTCCTCACCCTATCTCTAAGATGCCTAGCTACACCATGATGGAAGCTAATTTTAGGTTCTTGCATCTGGTATCCCATTTATTTTTTTCAGAATCTGGATTTTATGACTTACTAGTAAATAGAGAGCTTTTAGGTTTTGGTTGAGGTTCCTCTTTACCAGAACAGAAAGGTTCAGCCTCCGCCATACTGCAGCAGCCACTCAGATCTGTTTATCCATCTCTTCATTCGCTTCATTCTCCCCTCCCTCAACAGCACCCCAAGGTGTTTCAAACTGGAGGCAGGATCTCTCCTCCAACTTGAAGAGGCAGCCCCCCTTTTCTTGTTGAGAACCAAGGACTCAGACTTGGAAAAGCTGACCTTCATCCTTACATCCCAACCAGCGCTATAGGTGTTGGGAGGAGGTAACCGGTGGAACCTCGTCCTCCACTAATAGCAGGGACAAAATCCACCAGTCCCCATACCAAACCCCCTCCTGCCATCGCATTTGCTTAGAAATCCTGTCCATAAAGGTTGTGAATAGGTCTGGTGACAGATGGCAGACCTGTAGGAGTCTAACATGCATAGCAACAGGTTAGCCTTAGTACTTGCAATGTGAACCAGACTGCAACGTTTGTACAGCGACTAGATGGTCCTAAGTAAAGGCCCTTCAACTCCATACTCTTGGAGCGCCCCCGACAGGGCACCAAAAGCGACATGGTCAGATGGCTTCTCCAGGTCCCCAAAACAAATGTGAATGGTTGTGTTAATTCCCCGGATCCCTTGGTAGAGTTTACAAGCTTGTCCAGTTTCCACAGCCAGGACAAAAAACACACTGCTCCTCCTGAAGTAGAGATTTGACAATCAGCTCAACTCTCCTCTCCAGCACCCTGGCTTAGCCCTTCCCACCTAAAAATGTCTGCTTCAGCCCTGTGAGTCCTGCACATGTACCCAACAAATTTACCAAACAAAATTGTACCCCTGATCACATGCAGAAATGTTATGTGCAGAACTTGGTGTAATTAGTAAAACCCTGTTGTACAATTTTAAACAGTGATACCAAAGAAAAAAAAGAGAGAATCTCCAGATATTACCCGACTCTGCTCTTTGTAAACATTAAAGTTTTTTTCATGTAGGGATAAATAAAATACCAGATACTGACTTTGGGGAAAAACAGTATTAACAACAAGCAATAAGGAGAAGATTTAGGCAAATCACAGGGAGAGCAGGACATGAAGCACAGGTAGTGTAACAGAGGAAGCAGAAACAACATTAAAAACCAGGAAGCTTTTATACTGAGGTAAGAGTGGGAAATTACGTTAAATGCTGCCCTGTTAATCAGTTAATTAGAACAGCTGTTTACCAGAGCAAAAAAGGGAGACTAAGAGAAAGTGATTAATTAATGCAAAGATTAGGTTCTTTAATTATCAAAACAACCTCACAATGATTCTGTTTTTTTTTTTTTTATGGCTACAATCATATTTTAATAATGTTCACAGTTTAAACATTCTATGCAGTCAGTACTTTTCACTTTTTAAGTTTTAGAATATATAATGGATGGTTTATCCATCCGCTGGATAAACAATACTGACTTAAGAAAACATTATGTTTTTATAAATGGACTTTTAACTAGACTGTTCATGTATTTTTAGTGTGATTGTTTTTTTTTTATTATGATTTTGAAACACCTTGGAATTCTGATATCTCTAAAAGGTGCTATACAAATAATTTTAATTACTTAAAAACTTAATTCCAGAAGTTAAATTGGATTCTTCATTCATTACTGACTAAAGGAGAAAAAATTTTTTTAATTTATTTTCTTGATGGAAGCTAACTGATTTATGATTTTAAAACACAAATAAGTACAGCATTTTTTTTTTTTTTTTTTTTTTTTTTTTTTTTTTTTTTTTTTTTTTTTAGCTTTGCTTGGTTTTCTAAACATACTGCTTATATTTCATTTTGGTTTTACTTGAGCTTGTATATAATCTGCTGTGTTTTTAAGTATTTAGTGCAACTCTGGGTTTCCTAAATCTATTTTACGAACAAAATTTTTTTTTATTTTTCTTAGAATAATTATGTTATATATATTCAGTGTTCAAAGGGAATTTTAACTTGTTTGTGTTTTTTTTTTTTTCCTCCCCAGGAAATAAAATGAAGTTTCTCCACAAAAAGAACTGAGGACTTACATGTCTCTACTTCAAGATGATTCTCAGACTTTTTGTGCCTTTTTTATATAAAAAAAAAATAAAAAAGTATAAGTATGTACATAATATTTCACTGTAAGCTGTGATATTCTTCAGCGTATGTTTATAGTTCCTATATGAGACAGCAATAGCAGGACGGTACACAGCGACTGAGTCGTAGAGTAACCACTGAGATCCAGGTGTGCATGTTGGGGAGTGTTATCAGAGTGAGTGTTTGTTACTTGATGAGGATGTAGATGTACAGTTCATGTGTTCGTTTGTTCTCTGTTTAAGAAGTGTATATGAAAAATGTACATGCATCAAGATAATGAAGACAAATTATTTTAACAGTCTTGTGCATCTTTTATTAAATATAGTCATCTAAGTGCTTTTAAATGTGCCTGTGTTTGAGTACTTCTTTGCACTACCATCTCACACTTTCTCTTTATAATATCTCAATGACAGCGTCGTTCAAAGGTTTGCTTCAGGAGGAGCCTGCAGGATCCCAAAAGGCACAATAGTCTAGCCCTAGCCACCACATGCAGCCGTTAACCTAATTACGTCTCTACACATCACTCCGGCTGCTGTCATTGCCGTGCTCTTATTAGCTTTCCTCACTGAGAGGCACTCTGTGGGTGCCCGGTGCCATGTTACTGCCCCTCTGTCTATGTCCTTTTGGATGAAACTCCAGAACAACAAAAGCCACGTAAGAGTAGAGTTTTCTTTCCTCAAAAAATAAAAGGTTATATATACTATTTACTGTTACTTTTTCATTCATAAAATCCAGATTTAAGGTGCTGCTTTGAAATGATCTGTCAGCCTGACAATAGTTAGGACTCTGGCAGCAGGATTCTCATTGACACAAATAAAATATACAATTTCAAAGCCCGAACCTAGTTAATTCACCGCATATACTTCATGTCATGATGTGTAAGTAAGAAGTTGAGACTTAAAACATGGTTTATTTAAAGGTGTTAAACCATAATTCTTGTTTTACAGGGAATCTGCCAATTACCACAAAAATGGCAAAAATAAAAATATTAATATTTTAGTACATTATGAAAAAAACACATGACAATTTTGAATTCAAATTTTGTTGGATTAAATCACTGTTAAGTGCTGAAACATTAGTCCATGATATCTCTTTCTGTAACTTATTGCATCTATAATGTACAAGTAAGAGATAGAGGTATTCAAAACTGTTCAGCTAACATCTCCTAAAAAGAAAAAAAAATCAATATTTAGTTTTAAAAAATATGTTTGACTTATTATTATTATTAGTTTTTTTTGTTAATTGATTGGTTTGAAAAAATAGCAATGATGAGACATTGGGAAGTATAGCCTGAAATAATATTTTAAGCAAAAACATTTAACATTACCAATAAAGATAATGATAGATGGCAGAATGTTTTTTTTTATTATTACTACATTTAACAGCACTGTTCCAGTATCTGCCATGCTGTTGCACTATAAGCGAGGGGCATGTAAAGTTATCGCTGTGAATTATTATTATTATTAATGTTATTATTATTTCAAATTTTTGTATTCTGTATGGGATTATATATGAGGGTATATTGGGGTTTGTTCTAGCCCAATTATGTACATTGTTATCCATATAACTATTTCTATGTCTTTACATTGGACCACATGTTAAATAAACGTTTGAAAAAAAAAAAAAAAGTTGTCACAGTGAAAGGAAAGTGTTGTTGCCAGGTGCCACTGCACACTTTCAGCTTTGAGAAACGTCAGAAGTATTGCAACGAGAAAATCTCACGATTAACTGCGAGACTTTGAATCTCCAAAATTTTGTCCGGACCAAAAAGAGCGACATCCGATGTGAGAGGATCGCCGCCCAGAGATGCTGAGGTCAAGGTAAAACAAAAAAACTACCTCTGATATGTTTGACTGTTAGGCTGCAGAGATCTGCAGGCTGACAGCAGGAGGGATGTTTTTATTTTTTCCGGCGGACAGTCTCGTTTCTTCCTGACCGAAAACAACACTCTGACAGCCTCAGACGCAAAGATCCACTCGTGTGTGCGTTTCTTTTTTATTTATTTATTTATTTTTGGCAGGGAGGATGTTTTGCAGAAGCGCAAGTGTAAATAAGGGTTAGTGGATTGCAAACAGCGGAGTTTGTGTTTGCGGACTGATCCGCTGCGTTCTGGATGATCCACCATGCCATGATAGGGGCGGAATCTCCTGCGCACTTTCTAAAAAATAATATGAGCTCCGTGATGCGCTGGAAGAGGTGAGGCTGCAGAGGCAGGCTGAGGATGGAGAGATGCGCACTCTGCATGCCTGTCAGGATTCTTCTTTTTCACCAAAAGCGCTCTAATAAAGTGCCTTCAGGCTGACACATCCTTAAAGAGGAAATACAGGTTGTTAAATGTGTACAGCAGAAGGGACAGGACTGCAAATGTTAGTAAAAACCACACAGAACTATGCTGTTCTAATCCTTTGTTCTTGGCTGAGTATAAACTATATATTAAAAATAGAATATAGGTGATTAAATTAGTCTTTCTTGTCTTTTTGGTCTTGGTTTTTGATGATACTTTTCTGTCTTTGGAGTTATAAGGGTTATTATTGAACCATAGTCATTGAAGAAGTTGGGGTAGAAACTAAACTGAGCATATAGAGTTTTATTATTTATTTCTAATCATATTTATTAGCCATAAAACAGTTTAATACTGAAATTCTGTCCAGTGTTGCAGAGGCGTAGCCAGAACATTTTTATAAGGGTGGCCGAAAGCGGATAGGCACCAGAGCCTCAGGGTTAATCTACACTGTTTCAACAGGAAAATTAAAGAGCAAAACATCCATATTTTCCAAGTAAAGTCAAACTATACTTTCCTAAAGCCTTTGCTAACAAATAGATGCATATATTTCAACATCCGAGCTTTCTAGATAAAAGGTATAGTGGATAAACTTCTTTCAGGTTTGAGGCAAACATCTATTCCTTTGTCATTACTTACCTACTTTTATCAACAGTTATTCTACATAAAATGGATATTTACAAGTACTAATATATACACAAATTGATTATTAAGTTTTTATTAATATAGTTATTTATCTATGATTTCACTGAAGACTCCTAGATGACTTTCAGAGACAATTTCTCTTTACCCCATATAACACAAAATCTAGTTCTGAAAAGAGCAGGAATTATAATCTTTAATGTAAGTATATTGATGTGCATAATTAACCACATTGTTTTTTTTGTCAAGTAATTGTTAATATATGAAAAATTTTAATGTTTTGAATATTTCAGTTGAGAGTATTACCGCTGCCACCGTCTGTATTAGAGGGGGAAGAAAATGGTAGGGGTGGCCAATGATAAGCTAAGGGTGGCCATGGCCATCCCTGGCACCCCATCTAGCTCCGCCCCTGCTGTGTTTTAAATAGAATGGAATAGAAAAATAGAATAGAAAATTCCTTTATTGTCCCACAATGGGGAAATTCTGGATTTTGTTCAACTGTGAAATCTTGTTCATAGTTGTCATATAAACCATCTTCAAATTCCCCTTATTGCCACCGTAGGGTCAACATTTTTTTCTTTCCAGCTAATTATCTAGATTTCATATTCGCTGTGAATCTCCAAATATCTTAAGGCTGAAAAAGTAATTAAGAGTTTTAAGGCTGCATACTGAAATTAAGAACACCTTTACAGTTTACACACAGCTGACTGACAGCTGGCAGCAACAGGTGGGGCTGGGGAAGCTTGATGCATCAGAGAGCTATCACCAACACTTCTGATCCAGGATCATTTAATCTCATGGAATACTTGTTAAAAGAAGCTCATAAAAACAAACTTTTAGCTAAAACAATTTCTTGATAAAACAGTCTGGTCTGAAGGTGCAGAATATTCCCTGAGGAGTAGCAGTTAACAAGATACCTTAAATTACATGAATATACATTATGGGTTTACCTGTAAAGCTTCTTACTTTATATTTAGAGGCCTTAAAGGTCAACCAGAACAGGACTGTATTCCTATGTGCTATTTGAAGATTATATCTATAATTTTCAGTCAACAAAATAACATAATCCTCCTTAAAAAAGGGTGAGATGCTGAAAGACATTCAGGGAAGACTTGTTGAGGACGATACTTGTTAAAGTCATCAAAGCAGTGATATTTTGAAGTTTCCATGATGCCTTTAGTTATTTGAATTAACCTACCGGTATAAACAGTTTGGAATATTGTAATAGTTTTAGATTGATAGCAATCATATTTTTGGGAAGTTAAAATCGTATGAATTCTGTTCTCTGCGGTCTAAAAAATGTTAAAAAAATAATAAAACATATTGGATTATCAGAAATTCCTTATAGATCCACATTCCCAGATTTATTGGAAGTCTCCTCTTAACTGTGACTTTTAGACATTTTCTTTATTTCCTGAAGAACTTTAAATATTTAAAAAATCCTTTAATGCATCAAATGATACATCCCTAAACTTAATCAGGTTTTTGATTAATTTCTGTGTCTGCATAAAAGTATCTAACATTTATGGATGATTTTATGGACAGAACATTTTGAAAGTATTATGTCTTAATAAACTTAAATAATAGTAAAAAAAGGTATTTTCACCCTGCTCATCCGAACTGTTAAAAGATTTTTAAAAAATTATCAATTCCAGATTTCCTGGATAATTTCACTGGGCAACTCTAACAGATTTGGAATATTTGGTCATTTCTTTCCTCCTTTTTGTTTATTTTGTAATTAAAGGTCCTCTTAGATGGTTTCACGCCTGAAGCGAAAGATGAAAACATTATTCTAACTTTTTATTAGATAAAAAAGGAAATTTCAGTCCTTTATAATTTATAAAAATATAATTATATTGAGCACTTTTTAATAACCTATATTTATATATTTTTGGCCCAGTTGAGTATTAAAGAGTATAATAGAAACAGTTGTTTCTACGTTTTGTTTGAATGTCTTTCTTCCTTTTTTCCTGTAATTTCTTTTTCCTTAAATCTAACTGGTTAAGGAGGAAACTCTTAAAGCAATCCTAGGTTCTGCATGACCTAATCACCCCGGTGTTAATAGATGTTACAAAGAAGTAGCTTGCAAGGGACAGATTGCTGCTCAGGTTTCTATTATTGGGCTGTCTCTTGAGATGGTGTGCACATATCTGCTGCCTTCTTAGCAGATTAGAAAGTAGGATGGAGGTTTTAGTGTAAAAGATAAATGCTGTAAAGGTGTAGAAGAGGAGAGTGCAGGGGTTAAACATGTTAAGGAGTGGAGCAGGGTGAGCTTCAACCGATTAATTGTGCTTAGAATTGGGTCTTTTGGTGCACAGTGGGGCATGAGATTTCTCAGAGCTCCCCACTGAAACATCCCAGGATGAGAAAGTTGTCAGATTTGTAGGTCAGGCTGTAGATGGTTATTGTTAGGCAGACCAACTTCACAAGTCCATGTGGGCATATTTGATGTAGGGTGTTTAGTTTTGGTTGGTGTCAACCCGACTGCCTGCTTCCCTTTTTTTTCAACGGTCACATCTTCATAAGCCATTTTCAAGTCTTACAAATATCCCTGTTCTGAGTCTGTGTTTCCTTCTGAGTCAACATGAACTTTTTTCTCTCGTTTTATAGCATGTTCTATTTATCTCATTTGCAGGGTGGGGTTCAATCTTAATTGATTTGATAATGTTTGAGGGAGCTGCAGGAGTGTATCCTAGTCCCATCTGGAGCTTATCCAAGCCTGACCCGGTTTCAGTGTTCTATGTTGGAGTGTAGTTCCTCTGGGACATGTCCCCTCCTCATCCTGATGAAGGGGGAGAAGGCCATAGCTCACACACTCTCAGCCGGCTAACGTCAAAAACAATCCGCAATGTATTCCAAATTCACCCTTCTTCCTTATTGTAGGTCACTTGGACTTTCTCCTTTCTCCATTTTGGAAATGGCTTCCAGGGATATTATGTCCTACAAAAAAATAATTATGTTATCTCCCTAATTCCCAATTATTATGCACAGGCTTATTTAAGAAAAAAAAGGATTAGGTTTCCCTCCTGTCTTTTTTGGCGTCAGCAGCAGAGAGCAGAGAAATGAATCTGAACGTGACACTCGTCTACTTCTCTGCAGAGAGGGGTCCTACACTTGGATGAACCGGGGGAGGAGAGAGCACCGCTAGGCTGTCATGTAAGCTGTCTCCTCTGGGGGCCACCTCTCGGTTTGTGCTGCTTCCTGCCTCAGGTAGAAGCCTCAGTCTTTCTGCTGCTGTGGCTTCAGGGCTGCTCTATCTCTCCTCTCTGCTCCCTCCAGCTGAGCAGGCAAAACATCCTCTGCTCCAAGCACGAAAATGGAGAAGGTAAGAGGCATCTCTCCGGCTTTATGTCCTTTGGATATAATTTTTTTTGTTCTGTTCCGACACAGTAGAAGATTGTTTAAGCTTGTGCAGCGGTTTTTGAATTTTCACTGAGGGACCTTTCTGTGTAAAGTTAATGCACTGTCGGGGTTTGTGAAGCTTTTTTTTTCTCAACTTGCTTTTCAATGTTTGGGGAATACTTTTTTAAGGTTTGATGAGATGTCATCTAAATTGATTTATTCAGTTCCTTTGCTGCAGTTTCAGAATTTTTCTATAGGGAATGATAGTTTCTAAATAAGAAGTGATAAAAAAAACTCAAGAGACTTTAATATGTGTAGAATATTTAAAAAGTGGGAAACCTTAAAAAAATGTGCTCATTTTCAGTCTATAACATGTAGAAATTATATGTAAAATGTCTATGTATGACATTATTCCTGCACAGTTATAATCTCTGAAAGTATAATCACATACAACAACTCATTAAAGTTCAAATTAGCCTCAAGTAACACAGCTGCACAGAAATATTTTCTGATACTTGCAGCTGTATGATATTGTCACACAGTCTATTTTAAACGGTGTCATTTTTTTTCTTTCAGATCTGCTCAGAGTGCACAGAGCCGACACTTGCACAGAGTCTCTGTACGCTGTGCAACAAGTGGCTTTGCTACCAGTGCACCGATGTGCACCAGCACCAGAGAGCCTCCTCCCAGTATACAGATTTGTTCCAGCAGCAGCAGCAGAGGCCCAGTGCTGCCCAGTGTGCTGAACTTCACCAGAGAAGCTCCAGCTCACTGCCTCCTACTGGACAAGGTGGATACTTAGCTGCTGTGCCACTATATGTGTTGTTATTGTTGTGCTCTGTTTGGTGTGTTTAATGTTTCAGCAGGAGCCTTTTGCATTGAATAATTTATAACGATGCCAATGGTTGCAGATTGTTCCTGGAGATCCGTGCGCTTTGTTGTACCTATCTTTAACGCATGGCCCAGATTCTGGAGGAATGGGATGATTTCATCTTTGCTAATTTTAGTTTCTCGCTATTTAAAACCCCTGAAGTGTGCCCCAGTGTGCTGCTTTGGAGCCAGCTTCATTTGCAGGTCAATATCTAATCATAACGAGCCCGTCCTCGGCTTCTTAATCGCAAAGAGCGAGTGCTTTTCTTTGGTTTGTGTACTTGTGAGAAAAGCCGTGTGAATGTGTTGACAGACAGGATGTGGTCAGTCAGATCAAACTGATGCACCCGAGGTGATGCTCAGCTCACTGCCACAGAGATCTGTGATGATCTGCATGCTCAGACATAAAAAAAAAGAGAGAGAAAGAAAGAGACGGGAGGGGTGCTTGGATGGATGAGGTGAGCTGGCCACCAGAGAGCAGCAGGGCTTTGTTTATTTTTGCCTTTGAGTTATTGTTAGACAAAGGTTCTGTGGGCCATATTGTTTCTTTACTGCTCTATCTACATGCGCCTTAGATGTATTTTGGCATTTTTCATGTTTGATGGAACTTCAAAGGCTCTGCACTGACACATTGTTTATTTAGCTCCTTCGCTCAACCCCAGTCCCAGTTTAACCTCAACTTCCTTTAGCTTCTACCTATTTAGTACACTTGTATTATCATGTTTTATCTGCACTATGATCCTGTATTACAGTGCAGATATGCAGGTAAAGATTCTCAGTGCACGATGCAGATGCAGGCCAGCTTTTACATAATGTTTTTACCTTTATGAAATTATCTTAATAACCATCATTGGGTCCAGCTGTAGCATAGAGCAAAAGTTTATTATCTGTTCATGTAGACATTTAAAGAAGACAAACATAAACTGTGGTCATGTTGAAACAAATACTCAGTTTAATATGGTTAAAGTTAAAAACATGTCTAAATCCAACCGACAATCAGTCCAGGAGAAATGGACTCCATCGAGGTCTGCAGAAGTGTTGATGGAGATGAAAGAGAATCATATTTCACCACCTTGGCTTAACTGATCCATTTCTCGCATGTTTTATAATCATCCTATTAGTTTTTGAAAATTATGGTTTTAAAAATCAAAGAACTCATGTAACATTTTGATTATCAATTAGCTGTATAGCTACACTTTTTTGACTTTGTTTAACTACACACATCGAGGTCTTTGGGCTGAGGATTTATCAGTAATGAGGATAGGAGCATTATAATTTAGGAATATGAAGATTTCTTTCCACCTTTCCATTCCTTGGGCTTCCATAGCTCACAGTGACATCAGTTCATCACTTTTTGTTCTTAGGTGGCTCCTCATACCAGATAAACTAGCTCACTGTGTAATACCACTAGCTGCAAAAAGTTGTTAAACCAAATCAAAAAAAGGTCATGAGGTAAAGATCACTGAAATAAAATACTATATATGCAAATAGTATTTTTTGTTATAAAACTTAAGTGAGAAAAATATTTAATTGGTTGGAAAAGCATTGAAGATTTATAAGGCATAACTTCCTGTCCCATAAGGTCTCAAATAAGACTTTAAAGGTATAGTGGAGGATTTTCGCTAATTCATAAAAAATTGCACACGCAAAACCCTGTACTCGCTCCCAATAGAGAACACCTAATAAACTTTGTGCGACAGCGTGCACAAGCCCATTTTTCCTCATGCACGCTCTGTTTAAAAGTTGCTGTTTACATCGCTCATAAAAGCTTACTTTCCAAAAGAAGGTTTGCAATTTTTCCACTATGTCAGACTCACCGAGCACGTAGGATGGCTTTATCACCAGAATATGACAATTAGGAGGACAAATTATTGTGATGATCCACCTGGAAAAAGAACATCCTCCTCTATACCTTTAAGCTATGGTTGTTTGAAAACCTCCTCAACAACAAATGAGAAAGTTTAATTGATATTAACCTTTAAAATGTCCAACTATTTATAAATGGTCCAACCATGAATTCTGATCTGTTGCAATAAAATCCAATAGGGGCATGTCTTATCCATCAGCTTCTAAACAAAAATTAAATGTGCTTTAGTTAGCAGCAGGAAGAAGGATACAAAACAAAAACAAATACAAATATGAAGGGTTGAAGGAAAAAAAAAAAAAAAACTTGTTTTGAAGGTATCAATTTAAGTCCAATCGAGGTAAAGCCCCCTTGATATTAAATTAGCTGTACATTCTCAAAGATCTGCTGCTGTTAGGTGTAGATAGTAGTTAATTTTTCAAACAGAACCAAGTCTGTTGCCTTTTTTGACTTAATCATTATAATTTGATATCTGCTTATTAAACTAACGCAGGTTAGTCTGGTATTAAAATTTGTCTGTGGACTGAAACGGGAATGTCGAACAGGTAGACTGCAGAACGGGTCCCTAAGAATGATTGAAAAAAAATTACAAATAAATCACACAAGCAGAGGTGGTTAAAGCAGATGTATGCTTTTTTTAAACAAACTTAAAGGATGAATAAAAACATTACTTTTCAATAAAAATTCATGTCAAAGTGCGGATATAATAGCATCAATTAAGAATGAACAAAACCAACTGTTTTGGTTGTTTTTGTAGAAATGTTTTTCACTCAACCGACAGATTGGATGATTACTCTGCTACCATTTGTTGGTAGGAAGCTGAAGGTTTTGGAACCTGTGGTTTAAAAAACTGATAAGCTGATTAGCTACGAAACAGGAAGTTGGGGATTCTTTTAAATTAGGAGGGAAGGAAAGAATGTAAATAATTAGGAAGAGAATGTATATATAGACTGAGGTAATTTGGAGGTGTGTTTGAGACTAAATGTTCAATGTTTTTATAGAAACCTTTACTATAAAGTGATAACATGTAGTCTGGGCCTACATTCCTCCACAATGGCTGAATGAGTGAAGACAGAAAGACTATATAAAGAAATAAATCTAAAGTGACTCTTTGAGTAGCAGTGCATAGATCAACAAGAGTATAGATTCTGTGCAAATCTATTTACAGCACAGCTTGATGTCAGAGGTTAAAAAGCTTTTATAGTGTCTGGGTGTTACTGTAACCTTTTGGTTTTAATTCAGAGTTTATTTTGCGGCTAACAGCTAATAATGCTGCAGTGCTTTGAAATAATTTCCAGTTCATATCATCACTGTCAGAAATAAAGGATAAACCGGAAGCTGGAAAATATATTGACGCTGGGGTCCCTTACATGCAATCCAAATTTAATGCTGTTTTCTTCTTTATTCCTAATCCATAAACTGGATTTGGAATCATTTTTATCTGTGTGCAAAAGCTGAATCACATGTAAGGCCCGCTGGGACGGGTGTTCCTTTAACATAAGACTGTTGAACTGTTGAAAACTTGAATCAAGTCATTACTGCATTTTGCACCATATCTATTTATTTTGCACTGCTCTGAACCCTCCACATCAATACCTTTTGCACCGTGTCTCTCCTACACTGTTTTTGATCACTGCTGCACTTTATAAATGGAAATGTTTTCATTTCACTGCTAAGTTACTCATTCACTGTCGAAAAGCTGAATGCATCAAAATTTCGTTTTTTTTACACTCCGTGTACACAAAATGACCATAAAGTTTTGTCTAAGTCTAAAAGCTAGACCTAGTTCAATTTCAGTTAGGTTTTTATGATTTTGTGTTTTTTTTGTCACAGGTTGATCCTTTTTCATATTTGTGAAATATCCCAAATATATGAATTCTAGTTTCCTAAATATATTCAAAATCTCTATACTGTAAATGAAAAAAAGAAGATCTAGGCGACGTCTCTGTAGGATGCCTGGATAAAGCATAATGGTTCAGCTCTTGTTGGCTACAAGCCTGGACTGCTATGAAGATAATGGTGGTGCAGTTTTGACATTTTTGTCGATAGGTGAATTTCCATCGTTATTCTAGGGCATTTTCGGCTGTCAGGGGGTTTGCCTCACACATCTTAATTCATCAGGCTTCCTCCCATCCTATTGGAGATTTTTCTAGTAGCATTACAACATGATGAGATTTTTTCTGCATGCATTTTTCACCAGTTTTTTTCTGGCTTTAAACTACAAATTAGTTATTAAATGATTTATTAAAAACATCCCCAATGAATGTTGCAAAATATATGCCCCTCTTTCTCTCTCTCTAAAGAAAAAAATATATTCTGTATCATTAAAAAAGCTCAGATTATTCTTGTGTCTTTCAGGTTCCTCTGTAATTGACAGGATTTTGGTGCAACGAATGTTTGTCTCATTCTGATTAATTTAGCATGTGGTGCTGCTCCATCATTGTTAGTGTTGTGCTTTTTGACTCTCTCCTTTCTGTCTGTGTGTTTTTTTCAGGCCCTGGGTCATATCCTTGCTCCTTCCTCATGTGCCACGCTCACCGACAGGAGCCCTTGGAACTTTTTTGTGAGTCATGTGACCTTTTGTGCTGCAGCAGCTGTCACCTGTCCTCCCACAAAAACCACAGGTCAGTCTTCAGCCATGTAGCACAAGGGCACTGCATAGAGAGAAGGGGGCTAACCGTAGGTTAAACTCTTCCCCTGAGCTGAATCTCTCCTTAACTGCCCTGTCATTTTTATCTCATGCATCTGCATACACTACCCTTGGCCGGTCGGATGTTCATTAGCTATTCATACCTGTTTGTTTTCACTGACATAAGGGAGCATTTGCTACCTCCAAGGTCACATGCATAATGTAGCATCCTTGGGGAAAACACACTAAATTCTGTTATTTTGTCCCCTTCTGATGAATGAATTAGTGAACTTTCTGTGTGCATGTGTTCAGGGTGGTGCAGATTGGTAAGGCCCTGCAGGATCAGCAGTGGCTGTTTGAAAACCTGATGATGCAAGTTGAAGAGAGACGGTCTTCAGTGGAAAACAGTGCAAAACAGATGGAAGACAGGTTTGTTCCAAGTCACTCAGAACCTTGATTAAAATGCAATCAAAGGGCGAATATAAAGGTGTTACAATGAATGTATTATTGTCTTTAATACGATTTTTCTGTGCATTTTAAAGGTAACAAAACCCTTATTTCCCTTTCTGTCTGTACAGACTGCATGGAGTAAAGATTGCCCACAGGAAGGCAGAGAACCAGATTAAAATGGCAAAGATGATTATGATGAACGAGCTTAACAAACGAGCCAACCTATTAATAGAGCAACTGGAGGTAATTACTTTCTCTTTCTTTCATTCTTATCATTCAGATAGCCGTGAGTGTTCATCCAGAGAATCAATAACAGCCGGATTTAATCAGTCCCCAAAAACAGAGCCAGCAGCAGCCCAAAATAATCCGCTGATGATTTTAAAACGGATATATTTGGCTTCTAGATTTACCAACAAAGGCATCTGTTGATTGTAGACTACAGTTTGGTCACAATTGTGCTGTCTTCTGCTAACTACTCATAACTTTGTTTGTGTTTCCATTTTTTTTTTTTTTGCAGAAGATTTCTGAGGAGTTTCAGCAGCGTCTGGAGGACCAGCTGCAGGGGGCAATAGAGATCTGTGGCCAGCTGGACCACATTCAGAAGTTCATCAACTGGGCCACGACCCATCACCGCAGGGGCCCGGTGCTATTCAGCAGAGCTCTGGTGAGACAGCAAGCAGACGTCCCATGTCCTACTCTACCATGCACACACACAAACATGCACACATAAGGGAAATAACAATATACCTGTAAGCAAAGGGAAAAAAAAACAATGAATAAAGGAACTCATGTGGTACATTTTATTTGAATTAAAACAGGAATGCTTGCAAGGGCCAGTGTGTTTGTCACAGTAGCAGTAGCCCATCCTCTGGGAACGTTTATAACACGCAGCGTCCTATCGGTGTATAAATAATCTGTGTGACCATAAACAGGAAATTTGCTAAAGATAGAAACCACAAATGAGGATGCATCAATCTGTGTTTAGCTTGAGCTAAAGTCCCTAAAGATTACAAATACAAACAAGCTGAAAGATTCTTTATAGAAGGTTTTGCACACAGCATATATGATATTTGTCCATACAATGTAATGGACAAAAAATAAACAAATTTAGGTATCTTAAAAAATAAGTTGGTTACGATAATAAAGATTTCAATGAAAATGTAGCTGTACAAGTTCCTAATAAATCAAATGCATGTTATTTTCACTTAGTTATATTAAAGTGGGGAGCCCTGAAAAAGAGAAAAGCAGAAATGAAAACATCAATACAAAAATAAACCATAACTAAGATCGTACTTTAAAGTCAAACCATATACCAGTAGCTCATTTTGGTCATTTTCTTTAATGATAAACTTGATACTGCAAAAATGTTTCAGATCAGAATCAGGAGCCCATCTTTAGGTTTCACTTCCATTGTAACAATGTTGTGTTATGTGAACTTGGGAGTTGGACTTAAACGGCGAGGAAAGAAAATCACACGTATAATCTGCATTTAGAAAGGTGGAGATGAACGGACAGAGCTGCGTTCACACTCAGAAACTTGTGAAATTTACTCAAATCAACTGTTTGCACTTCTGATGGTCTTAATAAATTACTGGTACACATTAAAGTTTATTAACAATTAGCAGTACATGCATTGAACACTGAGTTAGCTCCCCTTTAGAGTTAAATACATGTAAATACTCCAAGGTGTAGGGAAAGCCCAGATTGCTTTGATAATGGCCTTCATGTCATCTGCATTCTTGAGTCTGGACTCTTTCAACTTTCATAATGACTCTGGAACGTTCTTCCTGGACTCAACCCATTAAGAATTTTTTTCCCCCTTATTTAGAGAGATTTTTAAATACAATGCAAAATTTACTTCCGTCTGGAAAAAAAATCCAACAAAAATTTAACACCACTGAGAAATAGTTACGTTTTTTTATCCGCTAAAGGTAAGACACTTTTGACGATGTCTCTGAATCAGCAGTGACTTTACTCTGGAAATGATTCAGCTCCAGCTTAATGTCTTGTTTACATCTGTTTGTGTTTGCCCTTGAAGCACCGAGTCCAATCTAGTTATCTCAGTTGATCATGCATCATGCGTTGATATATGATTTTGGCTTTTCAATCAAACACATTAGCTTCGGACCACATTTTTCTTCACTAGGATGCATCTACCACTTAAAATTTTTGCCCATTTTAGTTAAAAAGGTTTGTGTTTGTCCATAAGATATCTCTTCAGATGCAGCAGCTGCTGGAGGCGTCTCTCCACACAGATTCCTTGAGTCCTGTCAAGATCAAATTTAACTGGGATGCCAGCTACTGGACAAAGCAGATTTCCTCTTTTGGTAAACTTTATAATATAAAAGTAAATTGGTTGTATTCAAAGTTTTTATGCTTTTTTTTAATTATTGAGATTTTAACAAAGAAATTTATAATCTGTAATTTTTTTTATTCTGTTCTTTTTGATGATATATTGTGTATCTTTATGGCTTTCACAGGTCAGCTGACTGTTGAGGGGGGAAATTGCACTTATCCTTCAGGATTGGCCTGTTCCAGTATTTTAAGGCCCCAGCCCATGGCCTGCTTGGCTCTACCTGCCCTGTTTCACCGAGGTCGTGAGCCGGGCTGTGGCTACCAGGCCTGCTGTGAGCCTCAGATGTGTTGCCTACACAACATCCCCCCTCAGCTGGAGCTGGCCACTCTGGACAAAAGCCAGATGGAAAGCACTCTGTGTAACTCCAGCTGTACTCAGCCCACTCATTTTCCTGCTTCACTGCGCCAGAGTCAGCAGCTCCAGAGGTTTTGGGAGACAGAAAGCTCCCTCAAGCTCCCTCCTCCAACATCTTCTCTCCCGGGAGCCATCCAGCTCAGCTGCAGCCAAGGAGCTGCATCACAAGATCCTCCATCTTTAACTTATGTCTCCTGTCATCAACTCCAGAAAGAAATTGCTCCAGACAGCCAGGCGCACCTCAGTGCTGACCGTAGCGGTCCGGGTCAATGTAAGGGGAAGGTGTCTATGAAACCGTCTCTGCAAAAGGAGGTCAGCCACATTTTGAGGGACAAAGATGTGATGACTGAGGAGAACTGGGAGGAGAGGCATGGCAGTGAGAAGACCTGTGGACAGATAGCAGAAGATGAAAGCAGAGAACTTCTGGGTGAGGAGCTGGAGGCAGACAGAAGGGATCAGAGCCAAGTCCAGCTGCAGGTTCAGGCTTGTGTGGCTGCAGAACAGCAGAGGACCAGACCTGCTTTCACTCTCAGAGTCCATAGAGATGGCAAGGTGAGAGACCTTCTAACACTAGACCTTGGAGACCAGAATCTTATGTTATTGTTAAAATAATATAAATACAATAGATTGACCCTTCATGAAGTAAACTAGCATAAAAGTGTAAAGAATAATTTAATCCTAATATGAGGATTTAGTGCCATTTTTATAGGAATTAAACCTGGTAAAGACCACTGAAACATTAGGTTATTCATTGAGGAAGCTTCAAGGTAATGTTTAAGACTAGTTAAAGCCCAAACCTAAATATATATAAAACTAGTTAAAGCCCAAACCTATATATATATAAAACCTATATATATATATATATATATATATATATATATATATAT